TTTCTAAGTACTACTTTTAATGATCAGTGGATAGGAACAAATGGCCCAATACAGTGGCCTCCCAGATCACCAGATCTAAACCCACTTGATTACTTCTTGTGGGGTTACTTAAAGAACCAAATTTACAAGCGAAGGTACGATAACCTTGACGCGTTAAAGACTGCAGTTAGGGAAAAGATAACCCAGATAGATGGTAGGACCATACTTAAGACAGTTCGAGCAGTTGAAAAACGTGCCCAAAAATGTAATGAAGAACAAGGTGGTGTTTTCGAGCATCTTCTTTAAAAAAAATTGTTATTGTATTTTGTAAGATTAAAAGTTGATGTTGAAAATAAAGTTTGTCGATACAATTTAATTGTTTCAGATTGGAGGCCATAACTTCAACAATTTGTAACCTAGGAGAAAAGTTATTGTAAGCTTTTTTGTTTAAAATTTGATGCTTTAACAGAAAAAAATATAATATACAGGGGTTTCCATTTAAAAAAATGTTATTTTACTGAAAAAAATCAAAATAACGACTCTCAATTGTTTTTTTTTATTTCTCATTTTTACCAGCGTTAAAAATGCTACTAGTTTGCTAATTCAAACAACTTTGTATTTTCACTAATAACAAAGTTACTAATGGTGGACACTTAATTTGGATAACCCTGTATAGTTAAGCCTAATAGGCCTATGGCTTGACTAGTAACTTGTCGCCAAAGTAACGAACACATTAAATGATTACTTTGTAGAAGAGTAACGATTAGTAACGAATACTTGAAAGTAACGAGAATCAACAACACTAGCTGCCTCCTCGTGAGTTTACAACACTGCCAGACGAATAACTCCTTGTGGAGTAACTGATTTATTAATTTTTCCGATCTAACCACAGTAGAGATATTTTTCGGTGCAAATTAGCATTTCCTACGAAGAATGTTTGTCTTCCAAGATCCACGATGAATTCCACGCTAAAAATTCCAATTGCTCGTTGCGTCAAAGCAATTTCCATTTCCTATCTCCGGTAACCGATCCAGAGTTATGCGGCACGGTTGAGAAGAAAAAGGAAAGGTCGTAGCATTCTTATACGCCTGGCATTTCCTTTTATAGTCATTGGAATTGCTGATGGGCAGCGTAAATTGAGCATCTTCAAAGGTACGGGTCAAGGGTGGGAAACGGTTTCTTTCAACGAGGTTTGCTTTGGGGATGAAATTAAGATAAGAACATTTTTTGATCAAAATGCTCATTTTTGATAGATTCTCGGGGTAATAGCTTACAGAAACTTCTCTTAAATTTCTGGGAAAGAACTAGTAAATAAAATAAAAAAATACTTTTTTATAAAGAAGCTTCTATTTAGCTGTCAAGGCGGCTCCGACGCGGTGAGTCTCAAGCCATTTACAAGGGTTCAGCTGCTTCAAAACTGACACTCCATTTTTCAATATTTTTGAATGAAATTCATACAGTATGTTGAGAAGATAATTTCCCAGGGTGCTGTAGGAGCACTTTTTGAAATTTTGATTTTGTACAAGTTTTATGATGCGTTGAAGTGCGCACTTTTTCTGTTGAACTTCGCGATTTTTTTAAAAAGAACCTAGTGAAAAAAATGAAAAATTGGCTCTGTAGCACCCTGTGGGGTTTTGTTTTCAGCACTCTGTGAAAATTTCATCCAAAAATATCAAAAAATAAAGCGTCAATTCTGAAGTGCGCAAACCTCTACAAATCGTATTTTGGACGAATTTTGTCTACTGTTTAAGAAAGGACGTATTCAGATAATTTGGTGGCCCTATTTCATATAATATCGCGTAGATAAGTCGTTCTGCAAATAAAATAGGTACTCATAATCGCGATCGCTGATACTCCTCGATTTTAAAGCCGTTTTACTTCCCACGTCATTGGCGAGGAAGTATTGTAATCGCGAAAAATTTATAAAATGAGATGTTATGTTTTTTTAAGTCATATGACATTTACATCACGAAAAACTGTATCACTCATCAACTTGGAAATAACCGCTCGGATTTTTATGAAATTTCCACACGGGATTACTAGTACCAAAGCTTTGTAGTTTTAGTCCAGTGGGGACGGTGCTATAGGCAAAAAAAAAGTAACAATTGCTGAAACTCCGTTTTTGACGTTACAGGGGTTCCTTATCATTGACAGAAAAAAATTGTACTGCTTAAAAAGTGGGGGTTTGGGGAAGGTGATTCTAAATGTTGCATCTTTGCTATCAGCGAAACAGGTTCTATTATTAAGAAGCTTCTGATCCCAGTGATTACAGGAAATTTGAGTAACGAAAATCCGACGAATAATGTGTTCACGATTTGAAAAAATCGGTACCTGCTCTATAGGTTTGACACCAAGAGCCAACAGATCTATCTGCAATTGCCGACAGTAGGGAAGAATGAATTCGGATATCACTCCAGTCAAGTATAGGGGAATTTAGCGTGGAACTTTAAAATTATCGATATGTCAAGGACATATGTTTTTGAGAACGATAATTTGGTAGATTTTATACCTGCATTTTCATTTGAATTTCATGACCCGTGAAATGTATCCATTTCGCCGTTACGTTCAATTTTTGTTCTGCAGTTTGTGATGTTTTTCTGGATATAAGCAGGACATTGCCTAAGGTGCTATCAGAGCGTTTTACAAAATTTTGTCTTTGCGCAAGAATTATGGTGGGTTGAAATGCTATTTGTGCTCAACTTCTTGATATTTTAAAAAGATCCTAGTGGATAAAATCGAAAAAGTGGATCATTAGCACCTTGTGGACTTTGTTTTTAGCACGCTGCGAGAGTTTCATTTGGAAATAATAAAAAATGAAACGTAAGCTGTGAAGTGCAAATCGGTTTTTGGGCGAAATTCGTCTACTGTTTCGTCCTGCCTGTCCAAGCGACGCGACGGTGCGTTCCGACTAAGAAAAAATGTATTCAAATAATTTGATATCTTTCCTAAAATAAATTCAAGAACTCAAATTACAATTCGTTTATTCATGTCAGTAAACACAATTATATTTACAAGTGTCATGTGGTACATGGTAACATTTGAATGAGAGTCATAAAAATATCTTATGCCGTCAAAATAAGAGGAAACAGTTAGGTAGTTCTTGCAAAGCAAAAAACAGGTAGGCTTATACCTGGGTTAAGTACATTTCTTGTCTACTGTAATAGATGGAGGCGATGCTGTCAGAAATGGATGTGTGCGATCAATAAACAAACCACAAGACTGAACTGCGGTGTCCAATGATTTATGTATTGCCTTTTTTATTGCGTTACTAGAAAACTCTGTTGGGTATATGATGGAGTTTACTAGAACTTTACAGCTCATCATTATGCTCTTATTCACCCGACCCTTCCCAATATAATTCCCCACATAGATCTCTTCTATATGAATAGAAGATTCTCCACAATTATAACGAGATTGAGATTGGGTCATGGTTGCTTTCCTGCTCATCTTCATCTAATAGGTGTAATAGAGTCCCCAAATTGTGCTTGTGATGAATCTTCTATAGTCGATCTAAATCAGATATTTTTTGCTTGTAATCTTTACACCAATATCTCCAACCAATTAATCGCTCAGATGATTAAACTTGGTTTCCAACTACCTTTAAGTCTGACTACCATTTTATCCTTTCCGGATATAAAAATTTATTGAGCGCTAATTCAATTCCTTAAAAAGGCAAATATTACTATATAAAATAAACCTTGTCTGGAATTTGTAACTATTCAGTTATTTCCCCCCTTTTCTTTCTTTCTTACCGTCTCTCACAATGATCAGATAATACAAATCCATTGACAACATTTTGTGGCAAATGGACTCCAGTTTCCAATGCCAATATTTTGACACACACACACACAACTTTACAGCTTGTTGTCTGCCTTCTTCTACAAACTGCACCAATCTAGACGCTGTCAACCTGATCCTCCGATGAAGGCGCGACAAAGTACAGTCCTGTGATTGGGTGTCTTGTTCGATCTGCAAAATCTTGACGTTTTTCCCTAAAAATGTTCGCTTAGCAACCTCCAAATCAATGTAGTTAATGTCAGGCTTTTGATTGAATTCACCATGAAACTATTCATTTTCTTTGGAATTGCTATCCGAATTGTTTGTTATTTTTATATCAACTTTTTTTGGTCTGAGTTTCTTTTCAAGATTCTTGCGTTTGAGTCTTTGTTCCATCTCAGCGATAAGCGAGGTTGGACTAAGCTTAGAACGCAAATGTATTAAGACCACATATACTGGCCGCTGGGTATTGTGGCTCACTACAGCTGCAGCACATCTTACATGGTCTGACCGCTTCTTGCAATAATTTATTCGCTTACCCCAACGTATTTTGCTCACTATTGTTGACTTCATCATGAATTAAACTAACTCCATTCGTAATTAAAATGGTCGCATATGACTCTTTATTGTCCATTATCAGCCTTGATAAAAAAGGCACTCAAGAACAATCACACCAACAACAATTTAACAACACAATATCGACGAACAGTAACAAGGGGAGAAAAATACTAAATGAGCACTTCCTGAGTACCAAAATACGAAACGATTTACATTATATTATAAAAATTTACCTTGGTAAGAACCCGCAGTCATCCTTTCCTCTTTTAAAGTAGCGTCGACGACCGTGTAGGCCCAGCCCACCCTCGTTTCCTTTTCACCCCCGCGTTACATCAGCAGATGGTGCTCATGATTGTAGGAACCCCGTTAAGACGAACAAAAGCTCATAAAAAATTGTTATGGATTCTTCTTTTGTTTGATAAAAACAATCTGACACCTCTAATTCGGTGTTTGTAAATTTAGAAGGCCTCCTTATCAAAGCCTCCCTGTATCGGAAACGTTCCGGTTCTACTTCGAAAAAGGATGTCGCAGGCCTTCAACATTTTCGGTGAATCGCGTCTAATCCCGGACACATTTTACACAGTTTCCCGTTTTAAACACGAATGGAACATTATCCGGATTTTCCTTTTTCCCACTTTCGTAGATATTCAGATCCAATTATGTCTTCAAGGTAGGGAATTTAGGATGACCTGACATTTCGCGACCTTGAATATGAAACGCTTAATGGCTTCTCCGAAAAGTTCCATATTTCGCCCTTATCGCTCTTTATCTTTTTTTATACTCCTACAATAAACTTAAAGACGCCTTGCTATTCCGGTTTTTGAACTGCCTAATGTTAGTTGGATTGGGAAAAGTATCCTCAGGTAGATTGATCCACGATCTCGATACCCTAGGAACGTAGGAGCGGTCGTACTGGCCAGCTGGCGATGTGATTGTAACAATAATGCCTTTACTGACTCATTCATGCTACAGCACGAAGTTTAGAAAGCTGGATACTCTACCACATAACCTTAAAGCGTAAATAAATAACAACCCATTAACATACGTTTGAAGGAATTAACAGATTCAGATTGACAAAGTAGGTAAGCCTCTTAAAACCTCTTAAATATGGCCTAGAAGTCAAGCTTTTAATTGGCACATCTATGGCAACGCACCCTCAAAGATCTTGACCTATGTATTTTAAGTAGAGAATCAAGAAGAATTACAAACAAAAACTGTAAGATAAGCTATCCGGATGAAATATACAGGGTGGCGCATCGAAAACGAAACAGACGCATTTACTGGCAGCTCAGTTTTTTTTTTGGAAAACGCTCAGACCCGTCGATTTTGTTTTTGAGGGGGACACAAGTTTGGCAAAAAATCACATAAGCACGTGCAGCCCCCTAAGCGGGGGTGACACCGCCCCCAAAATCTTAAATGGCAAGGGGCGTCGAGTGATACCTTATTTTAAAGGTCTTTCAATTCGCTTTATAATGATGTAAAATACATGAGCTTCAGTTCAGTAGTTTTGAAGATTTATTGATTTAAAGCTTAAAGTAGACTTTAATAGGTACATCAAATTAGTGTGTACTACTTTCAGAAGAAATTTGACTAAAAGAATTTACTTAATAAGTAAATGCTTTTCTTCACTACGCGCAAAATCGACGGGTCTGAGCGTTTTTCCAAAAAAAAACTGAGCTGCCATTAAATGCGTCCGTTTCGTTTTGGATGCGCCACCCTGTATAATCATGGTGTGCAAGATAACAGCAAAAATACTATTATGTATACCAGAAGATTGTTACGAGCATCTAGTCTCACAAACAGAAAGGTAGATACAAATATGGAATGAATGAATGTTTCAAATTTCTTATTGACTCCCTTGTTTGGTGTCACGATATGATTTTTCCGCTACAAGCTATAAGAAAAACTGTTAACACCAATAAAACAAAAGAGTACAATTATGCATGGATCATGAAGCTATGTTGCATCGGAGCAAGTATATTTGTCTGAATATAGATGGCACGAACGAAACTGATAACTTGATCATCGCTAACAAATTTGCAGAATTATTTTCATCTTCAGCACTTAACACCATCACAAAAAGGATTGCACAACATTTATCTTTGCCGTGTACACATTCAACTACTAGTACAAATTCCGTATTTATACTAAGTGACATATAACTCCGAACACCCAGTTTAAATGGTTTTATTTTAATAAAATTTTGTATAAGTACTTAATGAAGCATAATAAGTAAATGATAAAAATTTCAAAATGATTGCACTGCTTTAAAGCCCTTTGACCTTTAATAATGTGTGGATGCACCCTGATGTGCTACGCATTCTCCAACGCGCCTAGGCATGCTTCTGATCAGGTGGTCAATGTCCTCCTGTGGTATCTCATTCCAGGCAACCACCAACTCCTCTCGAAGTGCTTCTAGAGTCTGAGGAGGACGTTGCAAATTGAGCAATCTCCTACCCATCATATCCCACACGTGCTCAATTGGGGATAAGTCGGGAGATCTTGGCGGCCATGGTAACAATGTGACATCATTATGTTGAAAGAAGTCTATTGTGACTCTTGCAACATGTGTTCGGGCATTATCTTGTTGGAAAGTTGGATCTGTCAGGATGTCAGGATAGGGTATGCTGCGCGTTCATATTACCTCTGATGAAGATTAAAGGTGACCTGGAACCATAAGCTATGGCACCCCAAACCATAACTCCAACAGTGTGATGAACATGTCTTTCAACAAAAAACTGTGGATTCCTCCTTTCACCACGTCGCCTTCTAACCCTGGCACGACCATCGTGCATGCCTAAACAAAATCGAGACTCGTCACTAAAGACAATACTGTTCCATTCCTGATCCCAGAGTGACCGTTGTCTGCACCACTCAAGGCGATTACGTCGGTGTTCTCGAGTTAAAGGGAGGACCCAGTGTGGCCGGTATGAAAACAAGCCAAAACTTCTCACTCGTCGGTAAACACTTCGCATGCCAATAGGTCTTCCGTGTTCTGCAAACCATTCATTTGGAATGGACCTGGTAGTGGAGAAACGGTCCCTTAAGGCCAATAATCTTAGGCGGCGATCTTCACGGTCTGTTGTTCTACGGCGGCGTCCAGTGCCCCTTGCTCTTTGCGTACGGCCTTCTCGAAGCCATTCCTGACAACACCTAACCACAGTGTCTACACTTCTTTGCACTCTAACTGCAATTGCCCGAAAAGAAAGTCCAGCTTCCCGAAGTCCCACTATACGGCCCCTATCAAACTCACTAAGTTGACGAAATCGTACAGGTCTCCGTACTCTAGGCATCGTAACCGATCGTAAAGGATGTCAAGAACCAAAATCCGCCAACGTTGATTCTTTACTGCGGCTGAAATATTCATTTTTAGAGCGTTAGTGAATTAAAAAAACGCAGTACAAAAACCGGAATGTCCAACTGATAAGGCTGAACATTTTTTCACTTGTTATTTACAGTAAGATAAATACATTCACCAACTTTTATTAAAATAAAACCATTTAAACTGGGTGTTCGAATTTATATGTCACTTAGTATATATTCCCGATAGCTCCGGAGAGGGAGTCAGTCAGCCATCTGCAAAGCTTCTCTGGGACGCCGTAGGCTGAAAGCTTGCTTCTAAAATACAATTGAACCTCATGCATTTTCTTCGAAAAACGTTTATATTCATATTTTCAAGCTTTTCACGGAGTGAACGAAGGTTTTTTGCACTATTTTGCAAAACCAATTGAATCTAGTGGTCTAAAAGGGTCCGTAAAATTTATATTGCTTTCACTATATACGTTGAAAATATGAAACTATGTAAATTCCGTTATAACAGCACGAGAAAAACGGGATTTTCGTTTTTATGGGCAAAATAATATTCCTTTCGATATTTTATAATAAATAATAGTAAATATAGAACAAAACAATAAAAATAAAATGTTAAGTCCATCCCTGAAAAGCTTGTTAAGATGAGAATCGGAGGATAAAATATTTTATTTATTTATTTATTTGTTTGTTTGTTTATTTATTTATTTATCTATCTATCTATCTATCTATCTATTTATTTATTTATTTATTTATTTATTTATTTATTTATTTATTTATTTATTTATTTATTGATTCATTCATTCATACATTCATTCATTCATTCATTTATTTATTTATTTATTTATATTTCATATTTCCTACAGGTAAAACCCAATTACAGGAAAAGCTCAAATGCATTAACAAAAAGAAAATAGAGACACATTGAAAACTTGAACTTAGCATCAATTGGCCTAAGTAAGGTCAGAGAATAATCGATGACGTGATTGATTCACAGCTGTCATTATAAATATCACACAGATCACATTATGTCCTGTTGATAAAATTTACGATTTCGAAGACATCATAGTTATCAAACTGAGAAACACTAATGATTTTTGTGTCGTCCTATGGACCCCTTATCATATACATAAGTCTACAGGAATGCAGACTTAGGGGCTTATTTCTTGTTATGTAACTCTTTTCATCTTAGCAAGAACAAATTTGTCCAGTGTCATCTCTATCATTTCACGATGTATCTCTATGCCTCATGCTGAAACTGTCGTCCGTCTTCTGTCTGTACCCCAAATCCAAAGTAATAACCTATACAGACTGGGGCGCTCTATTTTCCTGAAATGGAACTTTCAAACAGGATAAACTGCATATCATGCCTCGCCATTTTATAGAACACATCCCGAGAGCCGTTATAGTCCAGGATCCCACGACCATATTTTACTATTTCAACAGATGAATTGGTACATGCATGTTTTGGCACCATCTGTTGTGGAACAGGCAAATGATTTAGTTGGTACAGATTTACTAACGGTATATGACAATTCTAGGCAACATAATTTGGAAGTGATTGCTGACAAAACGAAACTTGTGCTTTTCTGTTCTGATCATAAATGAGAAAGCTTCTGCAGTCGTTTGAGCTCCTTCTTGAATGTACAACAACACCATTTCTCAGCTAGCTGTAAGATATCTACTTGGTTTGATCATAGATGGCGCGTTACGTTACCAACAATGCTTTACAGCGGTATCTCAGGTGTTACTTGAAATTGCGAGTTCTGTATGCCATTAAATGCACGTTAAATTGCTGCCACTGAAATACTTGTTTTTAAAAAAAAACTTTATTTTGATTAACGGTAAAAAAGGACTTTTGTGAAATCTTGTCACGACGATGCGTAAAACAGGACGGTTAGACAAGAAGTGACAAGATTTCCTCACACATGGATTTAGTATAATGCAGTAGAAATATACAAAGTGACATATAAATCCGAACACCCAGTTTAAATGGTTTTATTTTAATAAAATTTTGTATAAGTACTTAATGAAGCATAATAAGTAAATGACAAAAATTTCAAAATGATTGCACTGCTTTAAAGCCCTTTGACCTTTAATAATGTGTGGATGCATCCTGATGTGCTACGCATTCTCCAACGCGCCTAGGCATGCTTCTGATCAGGTGGTCAATGTCCTCCTGTGGTATCTCATTCCAGGCAACCACCAACTCCTCTCGAAGTGCTTCTAGAGTCTGAGGAGGACGTTGCAAATTGAGCAATCTCCTACCCATCATATCCCACACGTGCTCAATTGGGGATAAGTCGGGAGATCCTGGTGGCCATGGTAACAATGTGACATCATTATGTTGAAAGAAGTCTATTGTGACTCTTGCAACATGTGGTCGGGCATTATCTTGTTGGAAAGTTGGATCTGCCAGGGTGTCAAGATAGGGTAAAAGATGGGGTTCTAGAACTTCGTGGATATAACGCTGCGCGTTCATGTTACCTCTGATGAAGATTAAAGATGACCTGGAGCCATAAGCTATAGCACCCCAAACCATAACTCCAACAGTGTGATGAACATGTCTTCAACAAAAAACTGTGGCTTCCTCCTTTCACCACACCGCCTTCTAACCCTGGCACGACCATCGTGCATGCCTAAAAAAAATCGAGACTCGTCACTAAAGATAATACTGTTCCATTCCTGATCCCAGAGTGACCGTTGTCTGCACCACTCAAGGCGATTACGTCGGTGTTCTCGAGTTAAAGGGAGGACCCAGTGTGGCCGGTATGAAAACAAGCCAACACTTCTCATTCGTCGGTAAACACTTCGCATGCCAATAGGTCTTCCGTGTTCTGCAAACCATTCATTTGCAATGGACCTGGTAGTGGAGAAACGGTCCCTTAAGGCCAATAATCTTAGGCGGCGATCTTCACGGTCTGTTGTTCTACGGCGGCGTCCAGTGCCCCTTGCTCTTTGCGTACGGCCTTCTCGAAGCCATGCCTGACAACACCTAACCACTTCTTTGCACTCTAACTGCAATTGCCCGAAAAGAAAGTCCAGCTTCCCGAAGTCCCACTATACGGCCCCTATCAAACTCACTAAGTTGACGAAATCGTACAGGTCTCCGTACTCTAGGCTTCGTAACCGATCGTAAAGGATGTCAAGAACCAAAATCCGCCAACGTTGATTCTTTACTGCGGCTGAAATATTCATTTTTAGAGCGTTAGTGAATTAAAAAAAAGCAGTATAAAAACCGGAATGTCCAACTGATAAGGCTGAAAATTTTTTCACTTGTTATTTACAGTAAGATAAATACATTCACCAACTTTTATTAAAATGAAACCATTTAAACTGGGTGTTCGGATTTATATGTCACTTAGTATATAATATGCTGATACAGAGGATGTTAACATGTGAACTTCAAGGCGCGAGATAAGATTCCATAGCGTAGCGACAATGCTAGCAAGAAATACAAGTACCAGGTAATAATTATAATATTATATAATGTGATGATGGATATAACTTGCATCATTAGATTTAGGTCTAGGAAAAAGCTGGCTGAAAATTTAGTGCTACCGATCATTAGTTATGGTTTGATAGTTTTTTATCCGTACCTGGACTATTCAACTCAAATGCGCTTACAGAGATTACAAAATAACTGTTTCCGTTTTTTTTGTGACTTGCTTACCTTTACCACATAACTGATGGTTTCAAACTTCTACAATGCCTTGATATCAATTTTCTGTTCCAATATTTTCACTTAACAACACTGAGTCGTGTATTACATTCTGAGAACCCTGTATATTTAGTAGAAAAGTTAGTCGCTAGGTCAGGTTTTCATAATGTCAATATGAGATATCAAAACTATTTTACCATACCTATGTATGTAACATCACTTTTCTATAGGTCTTTCACGTATAATACGGTGTCACTCTTTAACAGATGTATCATTAGTATTGATATCTCAAATCGTAATAGCATCCGTTCCAAACTGCATCTCAAACCTCATTTCCTATAAATTTAAATTCCAAGTTTAAAGATTCATAGACATATAATCGTTTATTTTATACGAAAAAATCTATCTGTATGTCAAATTACGTATAGTATTAAGCTTTAGCTTCAGCATGGTTGAGTATAAGAATACCTTTGCTAAACATCGCCAATAAAGCCGTTTGTTATTGTTATTATTATTACTACTGTTATTATATAAATCATAAAAATTTGTGCACACACAATACTGTTAACAACAAATCGATTCTTAACCAACGTTTCGGATGCTCAAAGTTGAATCTAGAATCTAGAACTATTATGGCTTATAATATAGTGATGTTATTCTGATCCCGGACTAGAAAGCCGTTAGGTTTATTGAAGGGGATCCGTCTTGTTCGCTCGCGTAGCAGAGGCACTCGTGTATGGACAGGAAAAGAAAAATGCTTGTCGAGTGCTTTTTACGAGTACCATCTATTTGTAGAGGAAGGTCGGGTGCCGGGCTCGAGCATAAATCCGATGTTCAAATGTTACATGTCATATATTTCTACGCGGTTCTGTGCTTGAGGTAAACATATGTTTAACGTTGCTATATAATAGATTGCCGAACGGTATTTACACAGGGTCCGTGTGATCAATGATTCTCTCTCTAGCATTGATAAGATAGGCAAGGTGTTTTTGTTACTTTAAGGGAAATAGTGGCGTGAAGCAGATTGAGTCTTTACTACCCACGCATTCCAAACAACATATAGCATAACATATGTGTTCCAAATTTCATTCAAATCGGGCTATCGGTTCTTGGCCGTATACTCGTATATAGATACGAATCACCGCACGGTCTGCTACCTGCTTCTATAAGTCCCTCTAATCCACTACCAAAAATGCAATATTTACAATCCCGTGGCGCATGGCCAGTGCAATCAATAGGGACCCGGTCCATGTGCTGAAAAAGTGACATATAAATCCGAACACCCAGTTTAAATGATTTTATTTTAATAAAATTTTGTATAAGTACTTAATGAAGCATAATAAGTAAATGATAAAAATTTCAAAATGATTGCACTGCTTTAGAGCCCTTTGACCTTTAATAATGTGTGGATGCACCCTGTGGTATCTCATTCCAGGCAACCACCAACTCCTCTCGAAGTGCTTCTAGAGTCTGAGGAGGACGTTGCAAATTGAGCAATCTCCTACCCATCATATCCCACACATGCTCAATTGGGGATAAGTCGGGAGATTTTGGTGGCCATGGTAACAATGTGACATCATTATGTTGGAAGAAGTCTATTGTGACTCTTGCAACATGTGGTCGGGCATTATCTTGTTGGAAAGTTGGATCTGCCAGGGTGTCAAGATAGGGTAAAAGACGGGGTTCTAGAACTTCGTGGATATAACGCTGCGCGTTCATGTTACCTCTGATGAAGATTAAAGGTGACCTGGAACCATAAGCTATAGCACCCCAAACCATAACTCCAACAGTGTGATGAACATGTCTTTTAACAAAAAACTGTGGATTCCTCCTTTCACCACGTCGCCTTCTAACCCTGGCACGACCATCGCGCATGCCTCAACAAAATCGAGACTCGTCACTAAAGACAATACTGTTCCATTCCTGATCCCAGAGTGACCGTTGTCTGCACCACTCAAGGCGATTACGTCGGTGTCCTCGAGTTAAAGGGAGGACCCAGTGTGGCCGGTATGAAAACAAGCCAAAACTTCTCATTCGTCGGTAAACACTTCGCATGCCAATAGGTCTTCCGTGTTCTGCAAACCATTCATTTGCAATGGACCTGGTAGTGGAGAAACGGTCCCTTAAGGCCAATAATCTTAGGCGGCGATCTTCACGGTCTGTTGTTCTACGGCGGCGTCCAGTGCCCCTTGCTCTTTGCGTACGGCCTTCTCGAAGCCATGCCTGACAACACCTAACCACAGTGTCTACACTTCTTTGCACTCTAACTGCAATTGCCCGAAAAGAAAGTCCAGCTTCCCGAAGTCCCACTATACGGCCCCTATCAAACTCACTAAGTTGACGAAATTGTACAGATCTCCGTACTCTAGGCATCGTAACCGATCGTAAAAGATGTCAAGAACCAAAATCCGCCAACGTTGATTTTTACTGCGGCTGAAATATTCATTTTTAGAGCGTTAGTGAATTAAAAAAAAAGCAGTATGGAACCGGAATGTCCAACTGATAAGGCTGAACATTTGTTCACTTGTTATTTACAGTAAGATAAATACATTCACCAACTTTTATTAAAATAAAACCATTTAAACTGGGTGTTCGGATTTATATGTCACTTAGTATATTTTTAGTTTCAAGGGCAAATCTATGGACAAATATATGATGCGTGAAATATGTCTGATATGTGCGTAGAATTACCGTG